TTAAAATAATAAAATGGGCAAAGGGGTGGGGCATGGTGGTACTTACCTGTAGTTCCAGAACAGAGGGACTGAGGCAGTGATTGCAGAGATAAACCACCTGAGCAACTGACACTGTTTAACCCTAGTAGTACAAATAAGTAAATAAATCACAATTTTAAAACTAAGGGCTGGGCTGAGGAGATAGTTCAGTGGCACAAGTGCCTGCCTGGCAAGCACAAGGTCCTGAGTTCCATCCCCGATATCAAAATAATAAGGGGACAAGGGGCTGTATAGCTTTGTGGTAGAACACATGCTTAGCGTGCAGAAGGAGCTGTGTTTCATCACCAACATCCTCACAAAAACAGTTTAACCCACTAGGGCCAGGGAGATAGCTCACAGCGCAGTACCTACCTGGCGAGTGCAAGGGCCGGAGTTCATTTTCAAGTTAAAAAAAAAAAAAAAGCCTGAATAGAAATTTCCCAAAAGAAGATATAAGTGCCCAACAGAAGGAAAAGTAATAATCACCAATAATCAGGGAAATGATGTAGTAATCACTTATCAGGGATATGTAGGCTAAAACCATAATGAGATAACACCTGCCAGAATAAAATAGAAAAGTTGGGCCGGCAAGGTAGCTCAGCAGACTAAGCACTTGCGTAGGCAAGCACAGCGCCTGGGGTGATCCCCAGCACCACATGCGGCAGCGGCCTCGCCCCCGGATGCACTGAGCCAGCAACTGAATCCAGGTGTGGTGGCGCACGCTGCGGAGGCTGAAAACAGGAGAATCACTACGAGTCTGAGATGTGTAAAGACCTTGTACCAAATGTGTAGAAGGAAAAGTCAAAAGATAAGACTGCAGCATAGGGGGCCAGGGAGATGGCTCAGTGGAATTGGGGGCCTGGGCCTAGCTCAGTCCTTTAAGTGGCTGCTTCCACAAAGCTGTCAGCCCCAGGTGGCTGGAGTTCGAACCTCACAACTCTCCCGCTGGCCAAACGTGCCCTGAAGGCATGCGAGGAACAAAAAAAAGAAAAAAAAAATCCTTATGGGGCTGGGGAGATAGCATGGTGGTCTAAGCACCTGCCTGGCAAGCACAAGGACCCAGGTTCGATCCCCGGTACCACATGCCTTGCTGTTTCAGTGGAATAAGTGCTTCCCTGGCAAGCGCATGGGTCTGAGTTCAATCCCCGGTTCTGCCAAAAAACAAAAGAAACCAGCTAAAGACTGCAGTGTGGTGGTGTACACCTAAATCCCTGCATTTGGGAGGCTGAAGCAGAAGGATAATTTTTATTTTTTATTTTAGGGAAGGGTCTTGAGGGTCTCATTACTAGATTGAACTCCTAGTGATCTGCCTGCTTACAACCTCCCAAAAGCTGGGATTGCAGGTGTGCACCACCATGCCCAGTCTCAACTGCTGTCTCAGCGCACCCCGGGGACTGGGCAGGCACAGCAGGCCTGGGGATTGAATGCCAGGCCCTTGCAGTGCCTGCTTGCAGGCGCTTTAATTTGCTGAGCTATTTGACTGGCAAGGAGAATAATTTTGAATTCAAGGCCAGCCTGGGCTATATAGCAAGACCCAGTCTCAACTCCCTCTCCCTAAAAGCGTAAGTTTTGGTGATGAAGTGAGGAACCCAAGTCCCTGTACACGGTTGGTGGGAATGCAAATCAGCACAGTTACTATGGAAAACAATATGGAGGCCCACAGCTAAACTAAAAATAGAATAACCCTAAGATCCAGCAGCTCCATTACTGGGTATACACGTTGTCCATACTTGAACTTAGCAGTTTTTCAACTTTACAACTGTAAAAGCAATGGACGTTCAGCCAGGGCATGGCAGTGAATGCCTGTAACCCCAACTCTTGGGAGGCTGAGGCAGGAGGATTGCGAGTGAGTTTGAGACCATCTTGGGCTACATAATGAGTTCAAGCCCAGCCTGAACTATACAGAAAGACCCTGTCTTCAAAAGAACCAAAGCAAAACCGAACAAAAGAGCAATAGACTTTTGGTATAAACGTTTTTGAGCAGTGTCTTTTTTCCTGAGCAAGCCATAGGCCGTAGTACCCTATTCTACCACTGGGTGGCAGCAGTGAGCTGCAGCATGTGGTGTTGCTAAATTGACACTAGGCACAGGCTAGATCTATTCAGTGTATTTTCAACTTCCACAGGTTTTAGGGGCATAAAGTGATAAGATATCTGTATATATAGAGGAAAGGAAGTTGGTATGTTGATGATATTATAGAGGGTAGAGGCTCTTTTAAAGTTTATTTTTATTTATTTATTTATTTTTGATATAGAGTCTTCTCACTTTATGCCCCCAAACCTGTGGAAGTTGAAAATACACTGAATACATCTAGCCTGCCCAGTAACCTTATTAGTTTCGGTACAAGTAAATTCTGCCTAACAATTAGTAACAAAGGCGTGTAACCAATATAAAGCGTTATCTACCTTTGTGTATGTCCTTCTAAAAAACTACGTAAAGGATTGTTAACCTCAAAATGGGGCTAGTGATTTGAACCTCTAGCATGATAAACTGCCTTCCCAGCTCCTCTGGTGTTTTGTCTTCTGTTTGATCTGATTCTGAGTTTGGCAGCAAGATCTCTTCCGTGTTTATGGTAGCCCTATGGTAAGTCTCCAACTAATGACTTTTTTTTAATTTTAGGGAAGGGTCTACAGGGTGTTCAGGGTCTCACTACTAGATTGGACTCATAGTGATTGTAGTGATCTCCCAAGAACTGGGCTTACAGGCACATGCTACCACGCCCAGTCTCAACTGCAGTCTCAGCACGCCCTGAAGGTGGGGCTGGCAGGCAGTGCGCCTGCTTGCAGGCACTTAATCTGCTGAGCTATTTGTCCAGCCCTAATGAATATTTGAATCGTGAACGTTCACAGGTGTATTGTGTAAGGTTTACAGGTCTACTGTGCAGGACCATGGGTGGACTGCGTACAACCCACGGGTGGGCTGTGCAAGATTCACTTTGTCAGGTTACAGACAAATCCAATTTGCATGCTTTCTCCCAGAACTGAACTCCTCCCTAAGCGAGGGAGTTAAGTGATTTGCAATAGCCAATGAACTGAACCAAGCCTTCATCAATGAACTAGAGGGTCCAGTGTGGGGTTTGTGAGTATGGTAATAACATACTATCCAGACTTAAAGCAGGAGATCAAGTGATGTGCAACCTTATTGAGTTTGAAGACAATGGAAACAGGCCAAGCATTGAAGGACAAACACAGAACAAGCTCACTTACTGCTCCAGCCTCAGAAAGTTGAACTTAAACCAGGCAGGGTGGCACACACCTATAATCCTAGCATTCAGGAAGCTGAGGCAGGAGGATTGGAGTGAGTTTGAGGCCAGCGTGGGCTATCTGGTAAGCTCAAGTCTAGCTTCAATTACATAGCGAGACCCTGTCTGAAAAACAAACTGAACTCAGAAGCAGAAAGTAAAGCCAGGCATGGTGAATCACACCTATAATTCTAGCACTCAAGGGAGGCAGAAGCAGAAGGATTGCTGTGAGTTCACAGCTGGCCTGAGCTACATAGTGAGCTCAAGGCTGTGGGGAGAGGTTAAAGAAGGTCGGTCACACATGGGAGGCAAGCCACTGACATGGGCTGTTCCATCTCTGAGAAGGGAAGGTGCTCAGGTGAGCCATACACAGAGCGGTTGCAACTGACATCGACCTCCTGAGAGGATAAATAAACGTGTTGTGGTGGTTGAGCAGTTCCTTCCCTCCTGTCCAGAGAGCTCCTCCTGACCTCAAGTTTCTCTCTCTTTATTCCTCTACCCTCTCACCATCCCCCCCAACCCCTGAACTTTGAGATCCATGTGGACCTTGGCATACCTAGTGATTTCAAGGCCAGCCTGCACTAGTAAGAAAAGGAAGCAGAGAATAGAATGGTGGTTGCCAGGGGCTGTGAGGATGTGAGTGGAGATGGTGCATCATTTCAGTCAGGCTGCATAATTACAGCATGGTAGCTGTGGTTAATAGTATTTACCTGAAAGCCAAGCACAATGGCACAAAATATAATCCTAGCACTCAGGAGGCAGAGGCAGAAGGATCATGGATTCAAGGCCAGCCTTGGCCACATGTGAAGGAAGGCCTTGTCTTAAAATTTATTTATTTTTTTAACCTGAAATTTGCTAAAGGAGGTCTTGGATATTTTGAACACTAATAAGAATGTGAGATCCCATATATGTAAATTTGCTTGATTTTTAAAAATGGGAATAAGCCCAATGAGGAACTGGTGATAGAGATTAGTGGCAGAGGTAGAGTGATTGCCTAGCCTGTGCAAAGCCCTGAGGCCTGTGACAAAAGCCTGTTCGTACTCTGGGAGGCTAATGCAGGAGAATTGTAACTGAATCCAGCCTGGGCAATTTAGCAACTTAGCAAGACTTTTTTTTTGAGGAATTTAAAAAAATTATAGTACAGAGATGTCTCAGTTACTCTTCTCTTGTTGCTGGAACAAATACCCAACACTCAAAATGAAGGAAGGCAAAGTTTATTTAGCTCAGAGTTAGTGGAGGTTTCAGTCCATAGTTGGTTGGCTCTAAGGCAGAGCAGCACAGGGCAGAGAGCAACCTTTCATGGCGGAAGGCAGCAAAAACAGCAAGAGCAAAAGGGGAGGAGTAACAGCAACAATGGCAACAGAGAGGAAGTCTGTTTCCCTTAAATTGCATTTAGGCTATATGCCCCAGACTGGGTATAGTACTCACATCCATAATCCCAGCAGTACTAAAACCCATAATCCCAGGCTTGTTCATGAATTAATCTCAAACTCTAGAAATCCCCACCCCATGCATGAGGCTTTGGGGGGGGGGCAACTAGGCACAAACCATAACATTCTGCCCCTGGGCTCCCAAAGACTCATGCATATCCCTTTGTGCAAAAGACATTTTAGTCTGTCTCTAAGAGTTTCCAAAGTCCTAACAGTTTCAGCATTGCTCAAATGTCCAAGTTCCAAGTCTCCAAGATCTAAGGCAAACGCTTGGCTGTGAGCCCTTGTACAAATGAAAAGAAAGTTAAACACTTCTAACATTCAATGCACAAGATAAACACTGCATTCAAAAAGGTACACACAGCAGGATACCAAGCATTGGGATCAACACAAGCCCAGAATCCAGCAGGGCAAACATTAAGTCCTGTAGGTT